TTCTAATATGGTTATTATATTTATTTTATTGGCATATATAACTGTATAAATTGGCATATATAACTGTTTTCTGTATAAATTATAAAACACTATGACAAGGTAATGTTTAATTTATTATATTATATATATTTATTTATTACATTTTATATTATCATCTCACACATGGATTGGCATTTTCTATAATGTCTAAATTCTAAATCAAAATACATATATGACTTAATATATAATTAGCATCAAACAAACAATATAATTTATATTCTCAAGGATTAAAGATTAAATGGAAAAAATAAATAAAAAAAATGATTGCACAACCATCAATTAGGTGGCGACATGCACTAAGCATGTAAACGACCATTGAACAAAAGAAGAAGAAAGAAACAGCATGGCGCATTTTTTCTTAGCATCCGTTTCCATGGTGACTCGTCGATTCGTTGCTCTGTTGAGAATGTCTTGAGTCTTAACCAGGAACATACTCTGAGTTGAATGAACTTACTCCCGGACTCTTTTTTGGAACCACATACCTCGAGTAAGCAAGGTTTAGGGTTAATCAACCGAAAGTTCGGGATTTAGCTGAAGGTAAGTTAACCGTGCTTTCTGGAATGCACCCCAGGAATGATTTTAGTCAACACCTTCAGAGCACTGTTGACTGTAAAGTGTGAGGTAACTGAATTCTTCTGACCTACCTTTGTAGCAATACAATGGGATTTTTACACTGGAATGCCCAGAGGACAGTGTACACACACACACACACACACACACACACTCATACACACACACACATTTGCATGTATGTGTGTATAAACACATTATTTAAAAAAATTTACATTGCAGTTAAAGAGAAATAAATGCATTTGTTAAATACATATAGTGTCAATTTAAAAATATTAATTTTATACTAAATATTATATATAGAAATACATGCTACAATTACAAAAAAACTAAATGAAATAAATTAGCAAGAGCTTTTATTTATTTGTTTTTGTTGTTGTGTTTTGTTTTTGAAAGAATTCTCTTATGCTCACCAAAGCTGCATTTATTTGATTAAAAATACAGTAAAAATGGTAATATTGTGAAATTATTATTATTGTGATGCAAAGCTGAATTTTCAGTATCATTACTCCAGTCTTCAGTGTCACATGTGCTGCTTATTTTGTTTGTAAACGCTGATGAACCTTTTTTTTTCTTTTTCTCAGGATTCTTTGATGAATATAAAGTTCTTACTGACTTTTACATATATACATTTGAACAGTAGTTTATATATGTAAAATAAAAATTCTTTTACATTTACTTGCATAAAAAGACATACTAGACATACTAAAACATATTGGAATATTTGTGATTTATATTTTGCTTGCGGTTTTTTTTAATCAGACTACATGGCTACTTTTTAATGTCCATCTATTGAGGAAGGTGCGTTTTGCCATTCTAACATGTAAAATGTTTTTCTCTCAGGGGAAAAATCAGAAAAGTAGGACACTTCAATGTCTCCATTTGTTCTGCGTTTAATCTCATCGCTGCCTATAGTAGAAACAACTAATATATTAAAGAGATCTCATTTGTGTTTCTCCTTCCGATGGGATGCAATGACCCCAGTTTTTTTTTTTTTTGCTTCATTCACTCATATGATTGTTTTAAATATAGCACATCTCAGAAGAGGAGGTGGAGGATGCTTCGGTTTTTCCTCAGTTCCTCTGCTCTTCCAGTCAGTGCTCTGCCGTTGTGACCTACTTCCTCTCTTCTCTGACCCACTTCCTGCACTTCCATTCTGACCTACCGCTTGCATCCGCCGGCGGTGCCAGTCTCAACCAGGCCTCTTGTATAACATGCTGCCTGTGAGTGGCATTCAGTCTTAAGCTGACACACACACACACACACACACAAACACACTCTCTTTGAGTCGGATGGAGTCAATGACTAACTCTCTACTCAGTCTGTGGGTGGTGCAGACGGACACTATGTCCTTGGCATGGAGCTATTGTGTTCACACTCCTTCTGGAAGGAGATATCAAAGTGTCAGGCAGGCCTCGGAACAAGATGTACTCATTGAGGAGAAAAGAATCTGCTTTAGTTCAGATTAGTTAATTAAACTGATGAAATGAGTACAGTGAAGGTTTTATATTGATTCCAGACATGTTATAATTTGATTTTATATATACTGTATGTACCTCAGTTCTAAATGAAGTACAAGGACTGGATGAAAGAAAACACTGAAATGCAATAACGTTAGTTTGTATGTATTATGTAGACTGTAAATGCCCAGGGAAGAAATATCATATATTAAATATCTTTTAAGAGTTGTTACATTAACATTTATGCATCTGACAGATGCCTTTATCCAGATGCATTCACAGTTTCAATAGGGATATTGCTGGATTTGAATATTTGTGGAATTATTCTATTTAATATGATTGATTTTTTTTTTATTGCTTAAAAAATCATTGCAAATAAATCAATTGTTAATATTTAATTTTTATTTATTTTACAATTATATCTTGTTTTCTCCTGGATAGTATTGAGATTAAAATGGAGAGCAAACAAAGACTTTTTCAAGTCTTAGGATTTATAATCCTAATAAAAATACTGCAGTAATCTCACATGCGGCTATGTAAAATGATTAAAACATAAATATTAGATGAAAAATTTAAAAACCTTAAATGAAAATTAGAAACATTGCCTTAGCAACTGAAATAAGTTTAATTTGAAGCACTAAAATGACTAAAACTAAAACTGAAAAATTAATTAAAGCTATATAGAAATATTTTAAAAAACTAAAACTAATTAAAATGACAAAAGCACATAATTATTTTACTAAAACTTAAATCTAAAATTTAAATATAAATGTTAAATAAATTATTACAATTATTTTCAGTAACTGAAATAAAGCTGAAATAAAATGAAAATACAAATGTTAGATGAAAAACAAACTGAACTTTGAACATTTAGAATTTGAACTTTGAAAAATTTTACAACAAAAAAATAATAAAAAATTAATTAAAGCTATATTAAAAATATATATAAAACTAATGAAACTAATAAAAATGACAAAAGCATTGAAAACGGAAAATATAAAAAGAACAAATTCAAAATAATAATAAATACTGCAAAAGTATGTATACATAATACTAAAATAACACTGTCTCACTCAGATGTGCCAAAATACTCAAAGTTTTCACACACCAACACACACACACACACAGACACACACACACACACACACACACACACTAAAAAAAGAACTCTCATTTCTCAAAAATGTACATTTGCAAGTTACATTAACTACACCAATACCCTCATGGTAACTGAGGAAAATGGTTAGTTTAGTTAGTTAGTTAGTTTTTGATTTGTCATCAGTTTTCACTCAGCTTTTCTCTAAATCTGAGTCAAATCCATCATGGGGCAGATTATACATGTACATGATTTTGGTCATATAACTAAATTTTGACTAAACGTGAACGTGTATAAATATGTTTTACCTTTGTAGGGCAGTGTGCTGTCCACAATCATTTTATAGCTCAATAATCTCACTATATGTCAACAATTGTCTCATTTGCATCTTTTATTTCTTTATATCTCAAATAAGTCCATGAAAGAGCAACCTCTGAGTAACAGCATTCTCCTCTGGGTGGGCTTTGAAGAGCTTATGTGGCGTTTTTCCTTATAATTTCCCTTCAGAGAAGAGTGACAAACATGCTGCAGAAGCAGGATATTGTCTTTCAAGACTTCCTGTCTCAGTCTGCTGACCAACGAGACAGAACCGACTGGTGCATGCACTCGATAACCCGACTCTGGGAGTGTGTGGCGCTGAAGAACCAACAACACACACACACACACGCTTTTGCATTCACTCGACAAAAAACCCCAAACACAGAGGAATTAGGAGGAAAATAAAGCAGCATTCCACAGATGCCATGACTTCCTTAAGGACACGGGCAACGTGACCTTTCATCTGTTTGTTTCATGTGTGGCGTGTGTGAATGAACTCGGAGGAAGCGCTTTAATGAGGGGGCAGTTCTTCAAGCAGGAGGGTCTCAAACACAAACACAAGAGCGGAGGGAACTCATTTACACCGTTTAGTGCTCATTTCCACATCCATTACAGACACAAACATAATACTTCCCTATCAGCTTTTTGTAAACAAACCCTGATAAACCCGTTGTGTTGAGAGTAGTGTTACTGTATGAATGTTGAGGAAGTTCTTCTCTTTTAAGGGCCCTTGTAAAATAACAATAGCAAAAGCTATTTGAGGCAACAGGTTCTAGGAATCACGAGCAGAGCTTTATTTTCCATCTATAGTTCACAGGAAGTATCATGTCCAACTTTCCACTATGGATGTTTGTATAATTGCTTTGCCTTAGGCATATTTACTTTTTTTGTTCATGCATCTGCAGCTGTTGTTATTTTTTTGACTTTTTATTTTAACAATCATTCTAATAATAGAAACACTTAATACTGCATTCAGTTCACAATCGATTTTAATATTTACTACATTATTTTTGCAATAGCTACATATATAACAATACGTTATTAAAGTCTAATTTTTTTGTAATTCTAAGAAAAATTCTTATTTAAAAACATCAGAGTGCACAGGCCAAGACCATGCCAATTTTGTGATTTAACAGAAGCTTTAAAAATATCCGTTTTTCAACATATTTAAAGGTTAATGTTAAAAGTTATGTTTTTAACTTATGCTATGAAACGATCAGTCTTCGCAAAACATAAGTTTGCAAAAATCTAATTAAGAATTCAGCTGATAATAATTTAAGTAAAATATGAATATTGCAGCAATTACAGGCTTCAGTACAGCAGAGGAAACTCTTACTTTCAATTTCACTCAGATCTAAGAGGAGCGCCATAAATTTATGGGTAACTACTTCCATCTAGTGTTCAAATTGGGGAACTGCTAATTGACTCTTTCATCAAAGCATGCATAAATATAATGCATAATGGTTAAAAAGATAATTAATCACGGTTATATTTTTTGGGGGGGGGGTTAATAAATAATGACCGACAACAGGGTTCATTTCTGGAGGAGAAACCCAAAGGTTCCCGGAAGGTGAGTTTAATCATTTATTTCCTCTTTGAAGTAGTTTCAAGTGCGTTGTTTTGTACTCAGAATACATTTTATATTAATGTATCGACTCTGACCAGCTGCTTTGTTTACTAGACACCGAGGCTGTGTGCCAAAACATAATGAGCTGTCTATTTTGACAGCATGGCTATTCTGGACGTGTGTTGCGTTTTTGCTCATGTTGTAAAGATCAAAATGAGGATTATTTGTGCATATTATGAAACCGTGTGGTCTCCACTTGTGGCCATGTGGTAGCGAATTCAGTGTTGGTTTATATCAACCCTTACTGAAGTTCAACATAGTAACCATAGTTATCACCGAAATACCTTATTGTTACTAGTACTATAAAACTGTGGTAAATTGGCTTTTAGCTGCTATTTAATCAAAAACAAAGTTTCTTACACTGTATGATTTCATAATTTGTTATGATGTTACAGTAACTGGACTAACTGTGCAATGCTATCTATGTAGGCTACTAATAAGTGCTTGCCATGGCAATTTTTGTAAAGGAAACACAACTACCTGCATATGCATTGCTCTGGTTGTTTTCTAAACAGTATTTATTTAAATGGTAATTGAACCTCTTATAGCAGACACGTAGGTTGGTCCAATTTGTCCTTGCTGGGCCTTTTGTTTAGTCTGGGGAGAGAGTTTGCTGAGTGTGCTTCATTGCGGGTTGTTTGGATTTTTATGGCCACAGACAGAATCCGTTCATCTGACTGTGCGAACGCAAGCTTGTGATGACTGGACAGTTTTCTGTAGATCAGATTTGATATCAAGCCTTGCATAATCTTGCAAAAGAGGAACTCTCATGCAGTCAGTGTGGAAGATGTGCTGCTACTGTGGGTGTACAGCAGGCACTGAAATTCACTTTTTTCTTTAAGTGGTAATATTCACACATGATGGAATTGATTTTCAGGGCTATTTTTTCTTTTTATGGGGGTATATTGATTTTCGACCATTTTAAAAATGAAGTGTTTTATATGTTTTTGTCCACTAGTTTAAATTCAGTCTTTAAAACGTATAAATATATATATATATTATTATTAGTACAGTATAGTCAAAAGTTTGGACACACTTCCCATTCGTGTGTCCAAACTTTTGACTGGTACTGTATATAGAATGCAGTATATAGCCTACATAAACAGAATATATATATACGTAAACACATATTTTTTGCAATGATAACTCAAATGTGGTGATCAAACACTTATAATGATGTGACAAACATAGGCCTAGGGTATTTAACAATAAACTTTTTTATTCAAAATGAGTCTGACATCAGTGCACTTCACAGTAAACTTCCCTTCACTTATTATAAATAACTTAACACAAATAAAACAAAATATATATATAACTTGAATTAAGAAATTAAACAAGGTAACTGTGTAGGGCAAGCAAGCTACTACCAAACCAACAGGGGCAGGTTTATGCAGGAAGCACAGCTTTTCCAAATGTAAACATCTAAAATAAATAAATAATAATAATAATGAATAATATTTTTTTCACATTCTGTGTTGTGTAGCCTATTTTCTGGTAATCAAATGAACATAGTTTAATTAATAATTGTAATAATTTAATTAATAATTTAATAATTTAATTGTGCAGAACATTCGTATTTTAATAAGTCTTTGGCAGTTTAATATTCACAGACACAGTCTCTCTCTATATATATATGTACTGACCTGTTTTTTATTTATTCATCAAAAATAAGACCAATTCCATGAAATTCCGCGTTATACAGTAAATTCCGTTTTTATGACTGGATTCCGCTATTCCGTCCATGTTTTCTGCATCGTGGAAATCATAGGGCCCTACTAATGTAGCAAACGAATTTGATAAGCTCATTGTGAAAGTAAAAGACTGGGACATTGTTGTTTATTTACTTAGCATTGAGTCTCTCCAACTAGGTGACAACGTAGCGTTAAATCACCATTCAACAGACTTAAGCCACCACCGCGCTGCCGTCTGTTGGACTGCAGAAAGATACTAACTTTTCAATCTGCTACGTTACTGACTATGCTGACACCGTGTCTGCGCCGCAACAGAACGCGACAAAGCGAGTCGCGACCGTTGAAAATCATTTGAACTTTTTGACAGCACGTCATAAATATGAGGCATCAGTTTACTGCATCCAGTGTAGACAACATTACTGATTATAATGGCTTATATATATTACACCGGACGCGAGCGGCGCGGCGTGACAAAATACAACAGAAATTCTATTGTATTTCGTCGCGCCGCGTGATCTGATGTGACCGATGTGATAAGCATGAGTTCTGGGCCGCAGTGCAGCCGGTATAAACACCAGCATTAACTGAGTGGCCGCGATCAGCTCCGGTGGCCGTAACACAGGCTTTAATGCGCCGCAGACGCGTGCCGTGAAGCGCAGATCAGCTCTAGTCTAACGTCACTGAATCTGCTGTTAAAAATGAACCATCCATTCATCATATCATCATGCAAAACTAAGAATTAGAATCATTGTAATGTGACAATCAAATATAGGTGCGGGTGGGTGGCAGGCAGATAATTTATTTGAAGCAGCGGACTCGGGTGAAGTTTGAGCTCATCCGCGCATCTCTACACTACAGTGACCTGGGTCACCAGTAGCAAACAATGGAGCACGCTCTGCTGGACAAACTAAGTAATTACACCATTAGGAAGCATTTAATCTGCGTTATATGTTCTGGCTCATATTGGCCGATAATATCGGCTAAGCGATATATCGGTCAGGCTCTAGTATTTTTATCTGTAAACTCTGAGTTTCAGAGTAGATTCAGAGCTGACAAACCCAAACAAAACCAGCCCGCTTTAGACC